TGAGCTGTCATTACGAAGTGCCAGTCAGTATTCGGCAGGCATTATGCTTACGTTTGAGTCCTGGCATGCCCATCTCGGGACTCGTTTAGATGCACAGTGCTGCTCGCTCAACACCCTTGGACAGGTTATGGTCTGACCGGTAGTCCTTTGATCATTATGTCGATTCGCCTTCGCCTGTGGTATCGGACTTGACTTTCCTGTTCTGGCACTCGTAAATTTCACATGAATACAGGCCTCAATACTCTGTTCAATGAGATCAGTTCCAGAGACATCCTTCTTCATGCAAACTCCGTTCTATTGGGTCTCGGCCTCGCCAAGCAATACATCCATCCATATGCGGCTCGCCATCGGTTTGTGTTTCATAGGCCCACAAGGAGCTACGCATACGGGACGATACATACGACTGAAAATGGCCTCCATTCGATGTTGCGTCTTGAGTGCTTTTGGCGAGTCATTCATTCTTCTTCAATCTACCAGGATACAACCCCCCGCTCTCTATGTTTATCTCATGTCGAGAAAATGCATGAATAGCATGCAATCAGTGTCACTCGCTGTTCGATCAAGTGGTGTCCCTCATGGCTTGCAACGCTTCTGACTAAGCCCTCGTGGCTCCCTAACGTCACTGCACGTATAATATGCGGCTGAATGCTGAATACGCTTCAGCTGCCTGTTCTAATTTTCTGGGGAAACATGTGCGTGGCTGCAAAGCAATATCATGGGGGGGATGCGCGGTGTGGGACGTTGGCTTTGCGCGGTACTTCACTTGACCGGTCAACCACGAGGAGATCCTGGAGACGGCCCACCACTCTTTGGCTCTGGCTCATTCTTCGCCTAAAGCCTCGATGATCATCCCCCACATCAAAGGACAAGATCTCCAATCCAATACTTCAGCCTCAATCGCGAGGGAGACTTAGCCCAGCTAATCACCACCCTGTCAGCTAGTTTAGGCACCTCGGGTCGACGACATGCATCCTTGTGCATACATGCCTCATGCTATCACCTCAGGTAGATGGCTGCTACAAGACATGGCTCACCGACAAGTTTGTTTGTCGACTAACGGGAAGTTTATTCCAGCAAATGGGGTTCATCCCGAGTTTCGATAACGGTTGCATTGTGATACAAACAAGCTTGCAGGTTTCCGCTCCAATGGGTCCAACCAGCTTCACCGCGAGCCGAAATCATACTCAAACCCTTGCAACAGTAAGTACATAATACTAATGGCATTGCGGGACTTGTCGGGGCTTTCACCGGCTCAATGAAGCCGATTATAGCTCAAAGAAGTGGTCCAAGACAAGTTGTGAACGGTGTCTGAATGACCGAGATTGTTGGGAGATAAGAAACGGTAACACTATTGAAAAATATGAAAACCGGCATGCTACTTGGGCTTGTCAAGTGGGCTGTTTCTCTCTTTCCTCGCCTTGGGAAGCAAGGAGATCTCTAGCTGACGTCCTGCAGCCACTTGGACAGAGACCGGAATATGCAGCTCGGAATCTCAACTCTGAATATGCAGGACGGTTGGTTTACTTTGCTTGTGATAAGTGTCTGCGTTTCAGATGTGACAGTCTGGCCTATCAGAAGCATTTGTTTCATGCACTGGAAACAACAGAACTTCGTTTCGTTTCACTCAACTAAACGGTCATGAAATATGATGGAGATGCAACGTTTGTTCCTGCTCGCCTGCTGCTTTCATGAGTCAATGATTCGCATCAATCGTATGTTAACATCTCCATTGCACTTCCGGCATCATTCCCCAAACTACGATCAGGGCAAAATACTCATGACTTCCCAGATTATATGCAAGTCCTTGGAACCCTCCAGATAGCCAGCAGGTTTCGCATGAAGTTCTTATCTCAAAATCGCTGAGGGAAGGAATAAACCCTTGAACAGCTGTAAGTTGGGGCCTGTCTGACGTGGAAAAAGGAGAGTCCAAGAGTCCAAGAGCTCTCCCTGCTCTCAGCTGCAACTGTGATGGGTCGATGCCATATGGTTCACCATAAGGGCCTTTTTGTTGCTTCTTAGGTGCTGTTCACCGCCTATACAACTATGACCGCAATGTTTGGGGTGGCTACCAGGGTTGGCGAGCTACCGAACAAACAAGCAACTGCCTCCCCCCAACCAAGAACATTCCGTTGACTTCCCCAAGATATCTCATGTCACCGCAGCAAGGGCTCATGTGATGGCTTGGGACAGAGCCGTGCAGCGCGGGGGAGCGAAGCTTCCGGAAAATTATACTAGACAGCTACAGGAAGCTCAATTCCTTTGATTGTGGCGTGCCAAGCTAACAAGCAGGACGAGACGGTGATGTGTCGGTGTGAAGAGTGAGTGTAATGCCTACAGGCTGCAACTGGGAAACTTGACATTACCGGGTATACCAACGGGTCGGGCCGTAAGTCAGTCCAACTCCAGTCGAAAGTGGGATTTCCGGTGAGATAGTTGACATGGATGGACGATTCGGGTACCGCCAGTCTGTGAAGTGGATGCCTGGGGTAAAGTACCCGTCGGAACGCGTTGCATAACCCAAGGCAAATCACTAGCGACGACAGGGCTCAACACCATCGACATCGACCATGGCATAACTATGTATGTCTGTTTATCGTCATGGGCACAAATATCAGCCCGATAGCCACATCGTGCTACCAATGGGCCATGGTACGCCCCGGATGACACCCGCATCGTCCTTGTTGGTTAAGGATGAGGATGGTTGCATGCTCTTAAGGCGCAAAGTTATGCCTAGTACACGGAACGGGGAACCCTTCCCCCCCCGTCAGACGAGCATCTGTTTGTTGTCTGTCTTCCAACGACTTACACAAGTGAAACGACATTTGAGGATGCAGGGTAAGTAGACCGTCTCACATCCATGTTGATGACATCCATAAGGATGGTCAATATGTCCGCTGCCGTCGGCATCCCAGATTAGCCATGGCGAATAACTTTCATTTGCCCCGATGGTGTGACCAGTTTATCGAAGCGAGCGGCCAAACCATTGGCTTGATCGTGAAGCACCTTAGAATTGCAAGCAAGCCCAATGGCGGGGCTTGTCATGATGATACGAGTTTTGCGTCTCAAGTCTGACTCAACTTTACACACATTATTGACGTGGAAGAAAATGGCGTCAGCGACAGCAGTGAGAACAACTTGGGCACATGCTACTGGCCATTCTATGTATTGACGAACGATGTACGGCTGTTGGCTGTCTCTTTTCACATTATGCCCAACAGATACAGTGTTGCCATATATCGCGATATACGACCCCCCTCCAAATGACCTCAACTAAATTCCCAGACGAGCCCGTGTTCATTCATCGCATCCTTTTCTGTCTATTGTCCGAGATTATATATTGTCCTCGAAGCTGATATTGGCCTGGTATATGAGAGCCAGTCACCTGATTTAGGCCCATCGAACTCCTTGGAATAGTCAATAGTTGATAGTGGTGGGCTACAGGGGTTTTTTTTGAGACAACGATTTATTCTGTCTGGTTCAATTAAGTTACAGAATCTCTGACATGCAGTGTGATGTAAGTCGGAGAATTATCCTCTCTATCACTTGCAAAACTGCCGTATTGGTACCAGCCTCCAGAAATTGATTAAGTACTCACATCGAATGAATGCAATTGCCCCATAGAGTCATAAGTCACCTGGCCTAGAATGTTGTAGTACGGACCTTGTTCATGCTCTTCTCGTTAACCTTAAATCTTGATGGTTCAATAACTCTGCTTGTTGCATGAAGTTGCCATAAGATCTAAGTTTCGCTTGATGCCTTGCCATAATGCTGTTTGGAGATGGCGAATAAACATGATAGATAGAACCTATGTTTCGAGCCCGTTGTCTTATCTTCGGCAGGAATAGTACTTCCAATTGTCATTAACAACAGCATTCAGATATGACTAAATGTGTTGAGTTGATGGAAATTTCAAGTCCACAGTGAGATATCACTAAATCTCGTGAGCTAAGGAGTGCCATAAGATCTCAATCTCTTTTAGACCGGACGTAGCCCACAAGATGAGATTGATGAGATTGGCAAAATTCCCTTTGCCATATCTAGTGCGTGGTGTAAATCAATGAACTAGGTAGGGGTCAAAATCGTAAACAAGCCACTGAGCAAGCGAAGAGATCTTGACCGGGGATAGAGAATACAAAGACTCTCTGAATCATCCCTCGGGAAGCAAGAAAACACCACACCTTGAAATGAGGTGTTAAAATAAACTTAGTAAAAGGTATCCTAAGTCTATACTAGACTTATACTAAGTTACCTAAGTCTTTTTGTCACTTAGGATCAAGGTCCTGAGTTTTCTTTCCTCCCCGAGCCTCTGAAACGTACAGTGAGAAATGGCAATGGATTTGGAGGAACAGTGCCACCGTGCTCTACTGAAGCTTCTATTCAACTGAATGAGAAGGCCTGCTGAATGTTTCTACCATTGTCGTCCAGAGCGTGTAAGTGCTTGTTCTAAGTACTTAGTTGGGTATATTGTGTTGTTTATTGTTCCAATATTGGGATTGGTCGATAGGAGAACAATACGTTTCTCCATGGAGCACCGCCACAGCCAGAGTGGAGTCTCGCGCCCAATCAGACACAAATGCACTTCAGCCTTGTGTGCCCTGAAGCTTTTATCCCCAGCCTCAGCCTTGCTACTACATTCTGACGATCAACCTCTATCTTCTGTATCATTGAGTTGACCTCTAGCTATACATTGTCGGTAGGTAAAAGCTCTACTTTGGCCCTTTTCTCAAGCCGGAGAATGCCGCTAATCATACTGTTGCAGTTCAATTGTTATCTTGGCGATAAACGAAGCGATACTCCTGACCCAGCGGGCAACATTCGAGCTTCGGAGCGACCGATCGAACGCTCTCGCCGTGTCTTACACACGATATTTGGCTCATTATCAAGGAAGAGCCTACTGCGATTGGCCAAGAGCCCCCTCAGATCAACACTTTCCGTCTTCTCCCGTCTACGCTCTTCCTCAGCAGGACTAAACTTGATCATCCTCCACCTGCATCGCCATCATGTCCAATAACGCACCCTCTACCCCCGTCAAGGTGCCATCCAGCGCCGCAAACCACACACAGGCAACTCTGGATCCAGATTTGCGGTCACAAATCAACACAGTCCTTCTGCGCGACGGTCACGTCTCAAAGTACGCCCCCTCCCTCGCCAGTTTCTATCATGACATGCTACTAACACACTACCCAAGAATACAAGATGCTCTTCTCCACGCACTGAACTCTCACTCTACAAACTGGCCTACGGCTATCCAATCGCATGCACTTGCTCTGCTGCGCTCCGGCGAAGTAACAACCTTTCCCGCCCTCCTGAGTCGCGTGCTCGAAGATGTCCGCCACGATTCCGCCCTCAACCCCATATCATCGAGCTCGAACGGAACGAGCGCTAAGCCCGCAACAAACGGCAATGCCACGAAGGCTAATGGTGCTGCCGATGCTAAGCCTAGTCTGGCTGTGCCGGAGTCGGTAATCGAGGAGGCTCTTCGCGTCACCAGAGAGAGCCTTGAAGCTGTTTGCGACATCGAGGACGAAGGAACCGCTTAAGATGCGGTTATACCTTGAAACATTCAGAAGGAAAATTCTCAAGTCAAGAGGTGATAGAATACATCTCGTCGCATCAGAAAATATGCCCGGCATTCTGAATTACGACAAAATCGAAGACAATATCTAAACACTGCGAGAAGCCCAATAAGGGTTCGATAACTCGGGTTCTTACCACCATACACCAGCATGTCCTACATACGCAAAACCGGACAAGTCAGGATAAGCTCAAAAGAATAGCTTAACGGGGGCCTTTCTTGAATAGCAAACTAACTCATATTATATATAATACACAACGAACATACTCGCGCAGGTGTTGGAAGGGAGACAGGATCCCGAAAACATGGACACGAGACGATAACTACGTATGACACAAATGAATAGACATTACCTTGATGACAATCTCTGAAGATTTTACTACGGTGACAACTTAATATCTGCGTTTCTTGGCGCCACAGGGCTGATGTACTTGTATGAATATCTCCTACGTGACGGCCAGACTGATGGAGCTGCTTTCAGCTTCATCGTGTTGGGGCGACCGTTCAAGAAAAGTCTTGTATCAAAGGCAATAAACAGTACAGAGGCCAAGCAGGAAGCGCTTATCTCAACCAAGATTTATGGCATTTGCTTAGAGTACAGTCAATTTAGGACACGGGAAACAATCACTTTTAGACTTGACATAAAGCTAAGGGAATCAATTTCATCATCTATCAAACGCAAATCCGTCTCGAGTCACGCCGTGACTACTTTCATGTCCTTCTGGCTCATCAGAAATGCCAGTATCAGGTTGCCGTTCTTCTTTCCTCTACCATTCTACCAACTCCCATTCGAATATCAGCCGCATAGAATGCGTGAGTAGATTGCTCACTAGCATCCTACGAGCCAATGTAGAGATGTGCGAGTGAAATTATTAGAATACAAAGGACTCATGTCCATACAGTCGTTGCCGTCCTTAGTCGTAGAGATCATCATCGTTGCCAGCATCGCCAAATGAGTTACCGCCGTCAGCACCAGCAGCCTCAGCACCGGCCTCGGGGAACTTGAAGAAGGCACCAGGACCAGCGTTCTTCATTTGTTGAGCAAAAGCCTCGTATCGGCGGATCTCGACGTCAGATACTGATCGGCGAGCCATCTGCATGGCCTCCTCGAAGTGGGCCTTGGTCAACTCGGGCACGGGGTCCTCAGCATCCTCGTCGGTGTCCATCTCGTCACCAGCAGCCTCGCGAGCCTTTTGGCGCTCGATATCGGCAGCGATAGACTCCTTGATGGCGATCTTGACAGCACGCTGTGTGATGAAACCGATATCAGCACCAGAGAAACCGTGAGTCTTGGAGGCGATGTAGCCAAAATCGATGTCGGAGGCGATGGGGGTCTTGCGGAGCTGGGCCTTGATGATGCTGAGACGACCAGGCTCATCAGGCAGAGGTACATAGATGAGCGAGTCGAGACGACCAGGTCGGCACAGAGCAGGGTCGAGCTGCTCGGGTCGGTTGGTGGCGCCAATAACGAAAACATTCTTCTTTGACGTCATACCATCCATCTCAGTCAGGAGCTGGTTGACGACACGGTCAGAAGCACCGCCAGCATCACCCATGGATCCACCACGAGCCTTGGCAATGGAGTCAAGTTCGTCGAGGAAGACAACACAAGGAGCGGCAGCACGAGCCTTGTCGAAGATGTCTCGGATGTTGCTCTCAGACTCACCAAACCACATGCTGAGAAGCTCAGGTCCCTTTACGGAGATGAAGTTGGCGGCACACTCGTTGGCAACGGCCTTGGCCAACATAGTTTTACCTGTACCAGGAGGACCAAAGAACAGCACACCTCGAGAAGGAGACATACCGAACTTGAGGTACTTCTCGGGGTGGTCGACAGGGTACTGAACGTTCTCCTTGAGATCCTGCTTGACCTCCTCGAGACCACCAATGTCCTCCCAGCGAACGTTGGGAACCTCGACGACGGCGACCTCGCGAAGAGCGGAGGGGTTGGACACACCAAGGGCGAAACGGAAGTTCTCCATGGTAACACCGAGAGAGTCAAGAACCTCGGCATCGATTGTGTCCTCGTCGAGATCGATGAGATCCATTTTCTCACGGATCTGCTGCATAGCGGCCTCGGAGCAGAGGGCAGCAACATCGGAACCGACGTAACCGTGTGTCTCGGAGGCAATCTGCTCCAGGTCGACGTCATCGCCGAGCTTCATATTCTTGGTGTGAATCTGAAGAATCTCAAGACGGCCGGTGGGATCAGGGATACCAATGTCGACCTCACGATCGAAACGGCCGAATCGTCGAAGGGCGGGATCGATAGAGTTGGGACGGTTGGTAGCAGCCATCACGACGACGTTGGAGCGGGCCTTCATACCGTCCATGAGGGTAAGGAGCTGAGAGACGACTCGTCGCTCGACCTCACCGTTGGTCTTCTCACGCTTGGGGGCGATAGAGTCGATTTCATCGATGAAGATGATGGCAGGGGAGTTCTTCTCAGCCTCCTCGAAAGCCTTTCGGAGGTTTGACTCGGATTCACCAGCCATCTTGGACATGATCTCGGGACCGTTGATGAGGAAGAAGAAAGCACCAGTCTCGTTGGCAACAGCTCGGGCCATTAGAGTCTTACCGGTACCGGGAGGGCCGTAGAGCAGAACACCTCGGGGAGGCTTGATGCCAATAGACTTGAAAAGCTGGGGATGTCGGAGAGGAAGCTCAACCATCTCACGGATCTGAGCCATTTGCTTTCGGCATCCACCAATGTCATCATAACCGACCTCGTTGAGGTTGTTCTCTTCTTCGTCTCTCTGGATAGGCTCACCCTCGCAGTGAATAACAGTATCTTGTGCGACGATACCATACTCGGGAGGGTCGACCTCGACAACCTTGAATTCTACTTGTCTCATACCACCACGGACGATAAACAAGTCTCCTTGGCGAACAGGTCGGTAAGCTTCTCGGAAGTAGGGAGCGAGGAAAACGTCGAATAAGGAACCGGTGATACCCTCGACGGTATCAGCGATGGGGAGAACAGCAATTCGCTTGGCCTGCAGAAATGTTAGAAGCTAATTCGTTTTTGTATTCAGTGATTACTGACGTATTTGATATCCGGGCAAGGGTGGATGGTGATCATATCACCGTGCTTGACTCTCAAATTGTGGCGAACGACTCGGTTGATGCGAGCGCTGCCATCATCAAGTTCCTCGTCAGCAAGAACGATGAGGACGGTGTCCTTTCTCTTCTTGCCTCGAACCAGAACGGTATCACCTCGGAAAAGCTGGAGCTGGTCCATGGTGGCCTCGGAGAGGGCGATAATGCTGTTGTCATCGTTGACGGCATCGGTGACCCTTGGCGATGTCAGTAATTGTATGCAAACTGTACAGCGCAAAGCACCTACATCAACTGGTTAGGCTTCTTCTTCTTCTTGAGGATCGCGGTCGCGACATCATCTTCCTGTACAGAGGTTAGCGGCATGTTGGGGAATCTCATCAGATGCGATGTCACGAACGTTCTTGATCTCGGCGCCGGAAGGATCGCTGTATCTTGTCAGTAATTCCGCTTGCCAAAGAACAGTGATCGGAATAGATCCAGATCTAGGTTTTCACATACGTCAAGTTGACCTTCTTGTGGGGGTGGTGCTCGTCAGGCTGGGGAGCCATGATGGTTATCTGGATGCTTCAGGCGAAGCTGATGCTGGCTCGGTGATGACGAAAGGAGGGGGGAGCTGTGAGTGTTGCAAGGTAAGTGAAAAAAAGCCAAGTGATGGCTCTTGCGTGTGTGATGTGTGTTTAAATAGAAATTGCACAAGAGGAGAATTCGTGGGGAGATGTAGAGACAAAGTTTGTGTTGAACTTTGAGAGATGCAAGAGTTAAAGCAGAGGTGAGGTTGGAGGTAAGGTTCGAGCTGTTCTCAAAGGCCACAGGGCACCTTCCCTCTCATCGGAACTGTTTGACAGCGATTCACTGGCCGACCGCCACAGCTGTGGGCCAATGATATCACCGGATGCCCTGAATCGGGGCGGAACAATGATGTTGCAGGCGTGAAAGTAGCTTAGCTCAGCCGTGCTCGATGGTGGGGCTTTAGGCTGGCACTAGCATGATGAAGCAGAGGCGGGCGCAAGGCGGTAGCAACAGGCAAACAGAGAGTGACGACTACAACGGCAAAACAGGTGGAAGCCAGCAGAAGCTTCCATTGTGCTGGAACAAGGTGAGTTTTGGTTGCAAATGAACATTTTAGTTTTCTCTATAATGATTTTAAATACACCGCGCAAGTTATATTTTCTTACACATATTCGCTCACGATCCCGCCACCTTGTTGAGTGCCACGCAGGAACCTTCGACAGAACTTAGCTCTTGCATTGGTAGCTCGGTCTAATGTTCAAACTGTCTGCATATGGCGGTCATGGTGGATCAAAGGCTTCTATTTGTTGCGCGGCCCCAGTTGCCTACCTGACATTCAGCGTCTCGGATGGCAATACTAACGAGACTTATGGATCAAGTTTCGACTCACTCGCTATTTTCTAACACTGGCCCAATGCTATTTTGCCCATTATGATTTATTCAAGTATCTTATAAATCGTCTCGCCTCTTTGCCATCTCAAATCTCGAAACATTCGGTAACCCACTGCACACTGCTGACAAACATTATGGAACGATCCATGTCATTGAACTTGTCGGCAAGGTGAGGAATGGTGTCAACCGGGGCCGTGCTATGACTCGGGCTCCTCAAAACACTTCCTGTCGACCGTGAGGTACTAGCTGCAGTTGTTCTTCGTCCGAGCTTCGGGCTTCTCACGTTTATCTAACATCCCAGCTACCTAAGGTACCTACCTACCTTACGGAGTACACTGTCTGATGTTACCCTCAAGGAGCAATAAAACTTGCGACATTTCATATATTTAGTCTCATGGCCTACAAGTCAAAACTAAGCTTGTTACGTCTATCTTAAACTTGTTCGAGTTTTTTTCGTTGCTTTGGATATATATCCTAACTTTTCTCTTATGTTACCTATAATGTCTAGTCCGTACATATGCAGGCAGGTATGCCTTTTGATCTAGAAGCTACCCTGGAGCTACAGAACCTACAACCAATCATAAGCTCTGTTGGTATGTTCAACTCATGATTAACACCTGGGTGAGCACATTTGTTTGAATGTACTATACTGATTTCATTTTCTCATCGCAGGTACATCCCGGCCGGAGATGTATCTCAATGAACAATTATGAACTCCCTGGACACGTGAGAAAGCTCATTGTGTCATCATGGAAGCAAGCATCTGACTCTATAGTCACATCAAGCATCACAAAGCCATCACATTGAACCGTACTGGGAGCATTTGAAGTGACGGCACACTCTTTATAGAGATACTAACTACTCATCCTTCTCAAACGCGTCATTGAGATACGTCACAAATGTGTCTCTCAGTCGTGAAGACTTCATATCGCCCACAGCCTCCAATCCAATACCACCTCTATTCAACCCCATAAACGCCCTCCTTAGCCTTTGTAATTGTGGGAGGCCAACCTTCTTGCCCGCGGGTAAATGTATTGTCAGTTCTAAAGAGCCAGACGGTATCCGTACCTCATCAACGTCGTCACCCTCTCGCTGTGCTTCGACTATCCGCTTCACAACATCCGACGTCTCGCGATCCAGGAGATACAAGTAGTCGCCACTTTCCTCGCGGCCGCGCTGTATTGTTGCTTGATTCGGGCGCACAACCTTGCGGGCTTCACCGGCGATCGCGTCCCAAAGGTCGGAGAAGACCTTGTTGGTTTGGGCTTCATCATCCTCCCAGATAAGTGTGAAGAGAGGACTGTCCCACCTGGTCATGGGGTTGGGTTCTTCGTATCGAAAGACCAAGTTGTCCCAATTGCCGGGCTCGTATGGCTCTGTAGAGTCCGCGATCGTATCGCCAGAAGTTGTAGCCGAGGGCGTTGCCTCTTCTTTATCCGCAGGACTGGATGCTCCAGCTTCTCTTTTCTTTAATCTGGCCTCGTTTACCTCCCGTGCCCTATTCACCGAACATCCAATCTGCAGTATGCAGCTCGGTGTGCGCACAGCCTTAGATTCGCAGTGCAGTTGGTATCGCCAACCCTTTATGTAATTTAAGCCATCAAGAATCACAATATCCTTGTCGCTAAGTACGCGCTTCACGGCGCCATAGATTGTAGCGCGGGCATCCTTCTCTGAGGCGTTCGCAGACCTGGTATGAGCTGGGAGACTCGAAAGATCGTAAACGGAACGGGAGATAGAGAGGGACTCGTCAGAGATGAGGTGTAAGCGATATTTCGAGTCGGCGATACGCTTGGAGAGGTAACCGTAGAGTTGTTGTGATCGTGTCGACTTGCCTGAGGTAGGTAGTCCAGAGACGATGATGAGCTGGGCAACGATTTAGCTGAGGGGTCGTGTAAGTTGACACAAAATGGGGGACACACAGGCATCGTCTGGTGAGAGGAAACGATTCAAACTTCCTAGATTGACAACTTCAATTGGAAATAGTACCTAGTGTGGATATGAGGCCTCTTTCGGCGCTGTCGAAGTTGGTATGGAGGTCTCGTTGTTAGTGGAGGAAGTTCTCGATTGGAGAATTTTAGAAAGGCTCGACGTCATTTGGAGGGTTCACTTTGTGTGGGGTTACTTTAGCTTGGTGCCTGCAAGACCCTTGATAGATCAACAGAACAAAGCTCGAGTGACGGCCTCGAATAATGCAATTCGTTATTAGCTAAGCCTCAGTACTTCAAAGAGATTCTGTGGCATATTGCTCTCTTCAGCGGGAGAATAGTTCGAGGCGGCAAAGCCGAAGCAACAAAGGTACCCTGCCTTACCTTAGGTAGTCAGATGTCGATACTTGCAGTTTCAAGAACTTCCAGAAAGAGTAATGGATTGATCTATTCAACAAAGAACTTTCCCTTGCAGATATGTACAAGCCACGATCTTACATGCAGAAGAAGCGTCACTGACTAACATATTCGCTATCGCTTTGGTCGTTCACACGGATCACGGCACTCGAATAGACAGCCCTACAAGGTAAGGTTCGTTACAGCCACAGACCAGAACCCTGTAATCCCATTTGAGCAGATCTCGAGCTAAACCAAATTGGGCATGCGATTCGATGAATGAACCCAGCCTTTGAGGGACATCGCATTCTCATTTTGCATGCGACCCTGTATCTCGGGAATATGATACCACACAGCGGCAAGGTTTATGGTAAAGTCTCTGCTTCTCATGCATATCTGGTAAATGACCTTGTCTCGCTTGGGTAACTGTCTCGAGCTGTCGATAGTCAGTGGGGAGAAACTGAGGCTATGATGTTGCCGTTGTGCCGACTACCTACACAGCATCTCCTATATTCCAGTTAGGAATGTGAGTCGACGGTGACATGTATAAATATGCCTGGATATCTCGAGTTGAGGAAAATAGGTATTCAGTAGACCAGAACAACAATACATTCATCACTTCTTCACTCCATACTCTTCCTCTAGCATCAATTCATTTACAACTCAACTATTCCCCAAGGACCATCCTGATACTTCAACTGACCTTGTACTTACCACACCAAATTCAACTACAATGGCTCGACCTATGGACACTCACGATGACATCGCCATCGCCGAGATTGTTATCTATGCCTTCATCCTCATCGGAGCCCTCTTTCTCTGCAAGACTCATGGCTTTGGACGCACTGCTGGCTGGCTCTATATCTGCATCCTATCACTTGCCCGTCTAATCGGCTCTTCAATGCTCCTTGCAACCATCAATGACCCAAGCAACACAAGCCTTTACGTTGGCTGGCTTACCCTGAACGGTCTCGGTCTCGGCCCCTTGATCCTTATCCTTCTCGGCCTGCTTAGTCGTTGCTTCGATTCTATCAAGCGACAGGGCGGCCCCGTCGTTCTACCAATCTATCAGCGTGCGATCCAACTTCTGATGCTTGCTGCCATTATCCTTATCTCAGTTGGCGGTGCAAACTCGGACTACGAACTCAACGGCTCCTCTCCCAGTGTCAAGTACAACTCCGAGTGCAAGATTGGTGTCATCCTCATGATTATTGTACTTGTCTTGGTTTTGGGCCTGTTCTTCCTTGCTCTCCGTAGCCAGTCCTACATTGCTGATGGCGAGCATCGTCTCCTTATCGCCGTTGGTGCTTCTCTGCCCTTTGTCGTTGTCCGACTTGCCTACACCTGCGTTCTCATCCTCGGCGGCCACAAGCAGGATGTTTGGATGTATCTCGGTGCTGGCATAATTATGGAGATGATGGTCGCGATCATCTGCGAGGCCATTGGATTCACTCTCTGTAAGGCTTCTAAACCCACAGAGAAGAGCCAGGAGATGATTAACATTAAGGACTCGACTGAAGCATAAGCCAGGGATGTCTAAGAAAAGTGGCGGAGAAGACTTTTGAATATATTGTAACAAAACGTGAGAGCGTTCGATTTCACCGGTGCATTTGGGTATAGAGGAGCCTTGATCTACATACAATACATATTTCCTATGTCTAGCGAGCAAATAAAGACTTGATACACATAATTGATCAATTCAATTCCGCACACAAACGTTTCGCATGTCTTTCATCTAGATCATCTAGTCTTTCCAGAATGCTTGACAAGATAAGAGTATCTTGATCACAAAAAAGGAGTTCAGAAAGCCAGAATCTCTCCAACCTCATAATATCGGGGTATAAATGCGTTATAGAAGCATTCCACAAATGGCGACTCAAAAGAGTATATCCAAGGTTTACATGACCACACAGCAGGCCTTCTCCAGCTTCTTCAAAATCCAAGGTAGTACCTGTCCGTCGTCGTCGTTCTGCTGTCCCTGCTGGTGGTGCTGAGGCTGATGATGCTGAGGCTGGTGATGCTTGCTGAGGCTGGTGATGCTGAGGCTGGTGATGCTGAGGCTGGTGATGCTGAGGCTGGTGATGCTGCTGACCACCATGGTGACCACCGTAACCACCAGAGTGCGAGGGAGGGATAGGATCTCCGCCCTGGAGGTTGATGATAATCCGTCCAGTATTGCCCTCATCAGTCTCGTACCGGAGACCAAGTTCTTGGCACAGCTCCTCGACCTTGGGCTTGAGCTTTTGGACACCACCAGCTGAGTGGTGTCCCTTGCCGACGATGGCATAGAGATGTGTCTGTCCATTGCGCTGGTCTGCACGAATGCGCTCCTCAAGAATACGCTCAGCCTCCTCGACGTAGAGACCGTGGAGATCGATCGAGTCCGCCTCTACACGACCAGAGGCGTTGTTCTCACGGAAGATGAAATCGGACGCTTGCTGGTTGTAATCATCCATACGGGCAGCATGTGCCTTGCCCTGATTGGAGAGCTCCTTTGCTCCAGCACCATCGCCGTCTTCATATGCCTGACGCGACTGCAAGTAAAGTTAGCTACCTTGTATTGCCGTCCCGGCCGACATGAGTTGTATTCAACGTACACGCGCGAAGCAATCGTTGCGCTTCTCCGCCTCGGCTCGCGCCAGGTCTCTCAATCGATCGTACTCTTGTTCGATATCGTCATCGTCGTGGGCAAAGGCTAACCAGATCGAACTGTCAGTGTTTGCAGTTTCATATCAAAGCGCCGCACTTCGAATTCTCGCGTTGCCGATTCCGGCGCAAACAACAACTTCCATGTTCTGTGATGACGTACCGCGACCGCCCAATCGATGCATAGGAATAGACATTTTGCTTTTTTCTCAAGTCAGAATAGTCCAATTCCAACCGTTTGCCCGTTTTGTCTACCCAAGAAGAGGACCTTTTTGCCGTTCCCGTTGTTCTGGGCTCTGTCGGTGAGAAAGTTGAAGCTTGGGCTCTGGTGTTGAGCTGGCGATCTGCAAGTGTTGTCAATTAGTGGCGCCGCCAAGCTACAGTGATATGGTGCCAAGACGGGCATAGTTCTTCGTCTACCTATATACGGCACCTATCAACGATTTCCCCGCCGCTTCCTTGCCCTTTGCCCTTTGCCATCTTCATAGACACGAGGCCTCTTTAGAGCACTCCCGGGCCGAGAGGAGCTTGTTTAATGGCTATAGAGATCTAGACCTTGGGGCTCCTCCTATCGCATGCAGCTATTGATCCAGCCACCCAATGGTTCAGATCTGCTTTGCCACCGCAACATCGAACAACCGTGGGGAGAGTGATTTCAGCTTCGAATTCATGAAGAGTGGAAAATTCATGCTTGCCTTGGAAACAGACTTCAATCACCGCCTGAATATGATTGAGTCTTGATCTGATAGCCGGGCAATTGCTTCCAGTGTTATGGAAGTTTTCGAGTCATCAGCCAATCATATGGGCTCTGGATTTCTTATACACCAGATGGACATGGACATAATATTCTTAACTGTGATACCTTTTCTTCACCACAAGCGTCTACTATTCATACAGATCTCAACACTTATCATAGCAATATCTACAAAAAGCGGAGTAATGAACGAATATTCGCTGCCAAGTGTACAAAGGCTCAACTCTGCAGACCTATTCCTACACAAAGTTTCAGCCACTCGACGTCAAGTCGAGGCAGCAGAACAAAGCAATTACAAGGTGTTTTTGACAAGAGCAAACTTTAATAACAACTTGCAGAGGGGTTTGGGAACTTATAAGTGATAGCGGCAGCCCCCTAATAATTGATTTCCTGTTACGGGGTTTGGCTTATACGCCTCCATTCTCAGTCAGTGTCTCTGGTTAGGCTGAGAAGCCTAGGCCTGGAAACAGACTTTCGATCTTCAAGATTGCCATTCCCGACCGATGGCTGTACGGATATTCAAGCTAAGCTCAGTGTCTGACAGATTTACATTGACTTGGCACTGCCCTCTGCCAGGTATTTGGTTGAGAGCTGTATCGCTGAATTGGCCTCAGCCTTGGATAGAATCATGTTGACTCGCATGCCATCGATCATCAAATGACCCAAAAACCGAACCAAGGCTAACATCAACGCATCGTGGAAGTAAATATCCAGAGCTTTTCTCGAAGTTGCCTCGGAAGTAGTGTCGTGGTTTGCTTGGATGGTCATCGCCACATCTTTGTCTGACTATATTAAGTTCGACTTGCCATATCATGTATAACTCAACCGCCTTAACCGTTCTTGTTGGTACAGACTTTAATACTCTGTAGAGAGAGCCGTGTTCCTGTTGCGAGTGCAAACTGAAGACCGTCATTCATCGTCTGCCTGAGAAATCGTCAGAGGCTGAGCCAGATTGTTCCATCCGCACACCAGATTACTGAATCTCCGTTTCAAATTTGACCAAGAATCTGACCGGCTTCAACCATCACTCGAGTTGTGTGATCCGATTTGATCGGGCTTTGGTCAAGTTTGTCACTTGACAATAGCTTTTTCGCCATGTATCCTTGAGTAGATTGTCTGTCCAGGGGACTTGTCATGGTCAAGCCTGGTCTCATCCTACCAAAGTTTCCAGAGCAAGGTCTGATGCAGATCTCTCAACAATCAACCGGTAGTAAGTGAGGATCAAGGAACAATGAGCAAGTGGATATTGCAGAGCTTTGCAACTCTTGTTATGAGAGTGTCTGCGTTGTTGAGTAGGTAGCCACTGTCATTGTGTGAATGTGCTGGGCGTGCAATACTGAAGATCAGTCCAAGATACTAAAGTTAGCAACCAAAGATCATATGTTACATCGAAAGGAAAAGAGAAGCATCCGTAATCTTGTTCCCAGCCTCGGTTGGTTACCAGCCCGTGATGATGCCATTCAGAGGTTGTATTGGAGATGATTTGCATGTTATGGGCATCAGTAGTAGAACAAAAGCGGAACAAGCCTGCCATGTGGCCACCCTGTTTGAGAAAATGGTCCCGTCTGGAAACTTGACAAACTCCACTTCGCTAAATGAATATCGTGCTGGAGCTTGAAAGTTTGAGTGGTTTCGGTGCTGTTTAAATTGCTTTATTTCATCAAGAGCCCACGCGAAATTTGGGGTCCGAGAGCTTCTTCAGCTAGCAAGGATGGGTGGTCTTGAGTTCGATACACGGTATTTCCAGCCAGCGATATCCGCATGGCCGTGGAAAGTTATGACAACATCGATCAAGACGGACGCAGTCGAGCGCCCGTGTATCGTAGATGATGATGATGATCATCATATCGTTCGTGCGCTGAGCACCAAGTTCCTGGAACTCGGAAGCTCAGAGCAAGGATAACCAATCATTCAAAGTGAGGTTGAAGATCTGAGACTTGGATCTTAGCGAATAGATTTAATGGACCGATCACTCCCCAAAGAACGAACAATCTTGAAACAATTCAAAAAAAGCAGGTGGGCAGACATTAAACTTTAGCCGGTGGAATCCGGATAACGCTTTCTACCAAATAGTTAGGTATTGACAAACATGTTGATTCTGGAGCTCAGGTGATGAGAATCCCAGGGACTTGGAGAGGTCTGATCACCAACATGGAGACATCACCAGCCAACCACCAAAGAAACGTGTGGGCCAACACGGAATCGCCTTGAGGCCGACGTCCACTAAACCAAGCTGCCAATTACTGGAATGGGCCAATTACAGTAGAGGGTGTGGCCAAGGCTCTTGGGGATCCTCAGCTCTCGATGTCCATTTCACTGGAAAGATCTATGGCGTTGATTGGATGACGGCCACTTCTACTCCATAAAGGCCAGTAGCTCTCTCACCAGGTCCGCTACTGTACACTTGAGTCAGTCGCGACGATATTACTTACAAGCCTCTTCACAGGGGGCTTGGGGGACAGTGTAATACGGGAATGCTTAACCGGGTAGGAGACACCAGAAACGGACTTTGTAACTATTCCCAGATTGTTTGCTCGGACTTTGTCCATCATGATAGCGAAACTGTCAGTGTCAGTGTCAGTGTCAGTCAAGGAAGACACGAACAACAAATGGTCTGAGTGTCTTTGGTCGTTCGATATCATCGATACCGGACGGACCGTCATGCCAAACTCCCCTGCATCACGCGGCTCCTTGATGATCGACGGAATGTCGCAGCGACACCCAGAAGCTGCCACTTCCTCTCACTAGTTGTAGATCTGATGACAGAACCATGATCTTGAGTGCTGAATAGATACAATGCCCTTTGACCGTTGAGAGGATAAAAAAGATTCGTTAACTCCGACGAGACACAAGGGCACAAAGATGCAAGCTGTGTCGCAAATAAAGTGAGTAGTACGGTGCTAGTGTAGCATGTTCCTGTTGCCAGCCGCACAAGCTGTTCCCGAGTTATACGGTTACAGTATGAATATTACATAGGCGATAGGTTCATAATAGCAGCATGCTAAAGGCCATGGTTCATACTAACTAATAAATGAGCCTGCACAGATCCAACACATCGCTCAGACTGGTGAGTCTTGATCAAGACTGCAGTTCGTGATCGATGGCGCTCCGACGTGGGAGACGAAAGAGAAAAGTAATGAAACAAGGATGACAGCACGGGGATCACAGAAGAGAATTATGGAGGTTCCTCTTCTAGATGGCTTCTGTGCCGAAAAGCGCTGCTGCTAGCGATTGAAGGACCCTGGCGCTTCTCGGGCGATCCCCCTTTAGTAGCGTCTACAACGACCCATCAACTAGGAAGACCCCGGTCAGGAGACGAGGAGCTTGGCAGACTAGCAGTATCATTTGACATTCAGTGGCCTATGTGGAGCGATAGTGACAATGCTCAGCGAAGATGCTTCAAACGGCTGAAACGCTGAGTAGCCGGAGTTGAAGGCACAAAAGGAGCAACAATGCGGAGAAGATGGGTACAGTACGGAGTAGGACACGGCACTATTGGAGGTGGACGATAATACCAAGATAATGCCGATTGACTGCGGGAGGCGGGACAGACGCGCCTCGATGCAATGAGCCGACATTGTCTCGTGCTGAGGAGCGGAAAGATACTACCCAAGTTGGTGTTGTTGACGATGGTGATGATGACGGCATGTGAAGTATCGTTTAACAGGGCATAAAGTGAGAAATGATAGCCAAGCTTGAAACTTCCACTGTAATTAACTTTGAGAGTGTTTGTTGACGATACCTGCCTGCAGATGCTCTGAAAACGAAAACAACTGGATCATGATGCAAGGTACGGATACCATCGTGAGTGACATGGAGCCCCAGCACTTTAACTCTTGTTGCGTCAACCCGTAAGCTGTAACCGCAACTGCTGGCCAATCGCAACATCACATCACACAAGATACCTACTGAGGTAACTCCTGAACATTGTATTAAGCTCAGGGCACTTATAGCACACCTTGAAGGATTTGGAAACCTGACCTGACGTTTCGGGTCAAGTTCCCTGGCCTGTGATGGGCATTGCAGGTTGAATGAAACTCGGATCCGAGCCGAAATGATCATGGCTGCAACTCTACGGCTCTACGGCTTTATCAAGCTCAAACAACAAACATCGAGAATGGGTCCAAGTTCTGTATGAAGGGTGTTTCAACTGCAGAACAGAGCTTCATCAGTATCATGCAGTTGGTCGTCTCTCTCAAGCCTATAGTGCCCAGCTACCTAGCCTTATTAGCCCATCGTGCGGTGTATCGAAGCCATCCAACCATCGAAGAGCTGTAACAACTCCACAGTTCAGAAGGATGGCCCCTATTTATACATATGTATGTACATGTTTCGTTGCCCGCAGATCGGTTGATTCTCCGTACAGTACGGAGTACGTATGTACATATGGCTGCCGAAGTTGAACTAGAAACAGCCATGTTCGCGTGCGGTGCTGCTCTATCAACAACGCTTCAATTGCGATATATGACTGATAACTTACTATTGATATCTTCTGGAAACGAACCGTCAAAAAAGTAATTTCTCGGCCGTGTCCGATTGGCTTTTCGAACGGTAAGGCCATCGACATCGTCATCAGTGTCGTACCTAGGTAGGTCAGTAGCTTCTGCCACTACCTATTCTCTCCCGCCGATGCCCTTCCTGATTCATTTGATCGTCTGCCTTTTGGCTTTCATGATCATCCCGTCGCCGGGCAAAGCGCTATACCCGAGGAGGCCAGGTCTTGTCTGAATCGTGGGACGAACGACAAAGCTCCACTGACTTCCAAAGCTAATTAATAAGTTGTTCTGCAACCGGCCATACATAGAGTAGAGAGCATGGCGATGTAACAAACGACTAGAGTAAGAGCAGGTAGGTATCTTTATTAATTTACGGATAGATAGTACCTAGCGGGTGCCTTTCCCTTTGCGAGAGTCAACAAGTCGCTTCATTACCTTAGCTGATGAGACAGGCTTGTCAATGCCTGCCCGTTCGCTCCAACTTAACTTACCTAGAGACCATGCCATGCCGAGCCCATCTCCCATGGAAACCCACAAGCCAAGCAGATGGCACCATTACTCCACCTCACCGTGGTCATGGTCTGGCTTTGAATGGGTTCCTGGAAAAGGTTCGCTCGTTTGAGGACGGGTTTTAGCATATTGTTCAATTGAGGAATCGGCTCTTTGCAGGTGCTGGCAAGTTTCTTCCTATCGCCCACCATGCAGCACTGTCACAGCAGAATGCGATGATCATCACCATGCATTAAATAAGTGCATTGGATGGCTTTGCTTCCCGTCACGAGCCAGAACCAGTGGGAGCTTTGCTGGGCAACCAACCGATGAATCGACCACTTACGACATGGGGCATGTCCAGGAGAAGCTGGATCTCTCAAGCGATACTGAAGTGGGGGAGGCTCCGAGCTCAAGGCTGCGCTGAGGAATTTACGCACTGTATACTTGGATGGATGGATGCAGGCAGTGGTTTGTGTACTAGTTAATCTTTGTAAGGTGACCCCAGGAATCAGAAACTGCAGGACTTCCATTTCACTTTGGTGAGTAGCCAGTCAGGCCTGCTGGCCTTGTCAGCGACCTGGCGTGCTTTTGATACTCTCCAATCTCCCTCAAAGTGCACTGATGGTGGTGAAATAGAGTGCATACCGAGAGGGTCTGTCCCCTAGAGTCCGCTTTGATAACCTCCAGGATGTTGCTGTAAGTATTGGATGGCTACCAGGGTCCAGAGTTCCCTGACCCTCAATTCAGGTACCGTACGATTTGCTTCGACAGCAATTGTTATCCATCTTTGAGTCAAGAGAGATTCCCCGAGGTATCACGTTATGCGATGGATTCTAGCTGTCCTGTAAAGCATCTCGGTTGATTCAGCGACTCGCGATAATAGGCAGACGGACTGTGAAACCATCTTCCACTCGCCCAATCTGTACATGACCCGGGTAATAAACGAGATCCATGGATCCTAATGCAAATGAAAGTGTCCGGGGCTAAAGCGGTAGCAGAGGACCCTGCTAACCAACTCTAGTAGGTAAGGTAAGGTTTACAAGAAAGGTACCAGATAAACACTGGGGTCTTCTGCAAAACAAGCGGTACCTGACCGGGATAGCTCATCTCATCTCATTTTCCCTTTCTCTTCTTTGGCTTCCAGTGCCAGACCAGTTCCCATCTGGCTGGCTCCAAGAGCTCAAGGCACGCCTCTTTTCAGTCTTCTATCCAATCAGCAGCCGCTACACTTTCATTGACGGTGTCCCCGGCCGCATCTTTTTTTTCCCTCTCTCCCAATTGCGTCCATCCTCCGCCGTCTTTAATTCTGCTTCTGCTTCTGCTGTCTGTTAACTCATTCTCTCTCCTTTCTAAAACCACAGTCCCCCCCCCTCTGTGATTACTGCTTTGTGCCCCTTCCGGCTTATAGTCTGTTTATTTAGGGTTTCCTCTACTGTATTTACTCTACCGGGGCTGTTCGATCCATTCTCATCTTCATTCCCACCCGCTTATCCTATCCTGTCATATCCCAATTCATCCGCATACCCGCCAGCCTCTTTTGCCTCTCCAGCTTCTCTGCCTTTCGCCCTCTGAGCATCGACGTATCATTACCAGTAAAGAGGAGAGAGAACATTTCGCCGCCGTACCAGGGGATCACAATCCAAGTTTGTTACTATCTGACTCAAACGATAACGTCAATTCAGAAGGTCAGTTACCACGTCGCAGTTCCCCACGCGATTGCGCCTGTTCATTTCTTTCTGTTCTGAACTTGATCACCTCAATCCTAGAACAGCATATGAGGTACCACCCGACGATACTGTACACCCCCTGTTCTCCACCCCCCGGGACACCTAAAAAAGCTCCAACCTTTAGGCCTAGGGGCCCCTCACCCCCTGGCCCAGGGGAGGCGCGAGAGATTCCGCCCTGGGCTGGGCCTTTTTGGCCTTTGCTGGCACGACTCGTGTGTCGTGCCCCAAATTGCAGCCTCTCTTCTCCCCCAGTCGTAGTGCACCTTAGTCCCAGTCGTTCCCAGTCCCGGTCCCCAGTTACTGCGCTACGCCAAAAGCTGCTTCTGCATCTCCTTTTCTCTTCCTTCACTCCACCTTTTTACCTTACCTCAACCTTACATCGCCTTCGCCTTCGCCTTCGCTTCCGTCTGCTTTTTCCATCTCATCTCTTTTCTCTTCTCTATACCTTGACAAGTCGGGATCCTTCTACCCTCGACCAGATTGTCTTTCGTTAGAGCACGACTTGGAGCGTTGTTAATCACTAACGTCGACGGCTCTAGATTATACCCATTCACCCACCTATTTCGCGACCACGACGGCACACGTAAACACTGCGTCGTCAACGTTGTTTAATTAGTCCCAGCATTTCCTATAAACCTTGCGAAAAAAGAAGCAAACAGCACAACCGTCACAATGGGTTGCGGAATGAGCACAGAGGAGAAGGAGGGCAAGGCCCGGAATGAGGAGATTGAGAACCAGCTCAAGCGCGACAAGATGATGCAGCGAAACGAGATCAAGATGCTTCTGCTCGGTATGTTTGCCAATTACTTCGGTCACGCGCGATTCTCAACGTAACCAGTCGCGAAGACTGTCGACCGGATCGCTTTCTAATACGCTCATAGGTGCTGGTGAATCTGGAAAGTCAACCATCCTGAAGCAGATGAAGCTCATTCATGAGGGTGGCTACTCGCGCGACGAGCGGGAATCCTTCAAGGAAATCATCTTCAGCAACACCGTGCAGTCAATGCGTGTTATCCTTGAGGCTATGGAGTCTCTCGAGCTTCCGCTTGAGGACCAGCGCATGGAGTACCACGTTCAGACCATCTTCATGCAACCCGCTCAAATCGAAGGCGACGTCCTCCCCCCTGAGGTTGGCAGCGCCATCGAGGCTTTGTGGAAGGATCGTGGTGTGCAAGAATGTTTTAAGCGATCTCGCGAGTACCAGCTTAACGACTCAGCCCGATAGTATGTGCCAGAGGGAAACAACTGCTTTCGTTTACTGACCTTGAATAGCTACTTCGACAACATTGCACGCATCGCTGCTCCTGATTACATGCCAAACGACCAGGATGTCCTTCGATCTCGTGTCAAGACCACCGGTATTACTGAGACCACATTCATCATCGGCGACCTCACATACAGAATGTTCGACGTCGGTGGTCAAAGATCTGAGCGAAAGAAGTGGATTCACTGCTTCGAAAACGTTACCACCATTCTTTTCCTGGTTGCCATCTCCGAGTACGATCAGCTCCTGTTTGAGGATGAGACTGTCAACCGAATGCAGGAGGCTCTTACTCTCTTCGACTCCATCTGCAACTCAAGGTGGTTCATCAAGACATCGATCATTCTTTTCCTCAACAAGATCGATCGTTTCAAGGAGAAGCTGCCTGTCAGCCCCATGAAGAACTACTTCCCCGACTACGAGGGCGGTGACGACTATGCCGCGGCTTGCGATTACATCCTCAACCGTTTCGTCAGCTTGAACCAACACGAGACCAAGCAGATCTATACCCATTTCACCTGCGCAACCGATACCACTCAGATCCGCTTCGTCATGGCGGCTGTCAACGGTAAGTTACCCCGACTGGAGTGTTGTCCAAACTTCAGTATTCTAACAAGTTACAGATATCATCATCCAAGAGAACCTGCGTCTCTGTGGTCTTATCTAAATGATTTTTTTTCTTGCTGTCACAAAACACGAATACCCTCGAACTTAATAACGACACTGCTTAGATGGGCCACGGGGATATGGCTCACGATTTTTTCTTGTACTCGTCACACCGGAGGAGCGAAGGCGCAAGTCAACAACTGCGTGACTCGTTGGGTTGACGACGGTTACTGACGGTCCGGCTCACCCATTACGCCAGATATACTACTAGCTTTGGCTGTGCCCAGGTCGACCGTGGTTCCGTTTCTTTGTAAGGATTTTCCGGTTGAAGGATGGGAGTTGCCTTGTATCACAAAAACGTCTTTTTAAAGGGAGAAGGATTTTAAGAACGGTGGACCACAGATGATGAAGCCGCGAAGGCCAGTGGTCATGGCCGCCCATGACGTCGGGAAGATATGATTTGCCCGTTCAAGAGCTTGACGGACGAGGCTGGAAGAAGGGGTCATTATTTGCATCTAAACAGTACGGGCGATGGAGGATGGTGGTCATCTACTTTGTTTAATTACGAAACTCTTTCCTACCACTACCACTACCGCCCATGCCTTGTTACCCTCCACGTTAGCATTGTATTGTTTACTCACTCGTCACTCGGATGCGGTGTTTCCTCGTTTAATTTTCAACTATCAAAGTATACTGTAAATAATGATTTGGCACGTATTTCGTCTGAAACAAACACACCGCCTGTCGCCAAATTCCGCACTTGTCTGTCTTGTTTGCTCGTTTCGCTTGCGTTTTGACTCACTTTTCTTTTGGCGTATGTCTTGAACTCAAGCAAAGTGCCCGTTTTTGCCCAGAGCAGAGGATGTTAACGCGCGCTACCCACGCAAGTTTCTCAACAGGGATACATCCGGGTCCATCACCCTGCATGGCTATGGAGGTTTTGTCTCTAGATATGAGACAAGCGTGGGAGCAGTCGGATGCTTGCTTGTGATGATTGTCCTCAAGACCGAGATAAACAAAGATCATGTGACTTGACTCAACCTCGTTCTCTTTGCTGGGAGGCAGAATATCGATGAGAAATAGCAAGAAAAGGGAATATTCAACGAAAACCACGCATGTGGCGGCGATCTACTTCTACCGCTCATATCCAAAATGCGTACGTAGCAAATAGTCACATCACATTGCGACCTATGTGTTTCATGGTCTTGTCTGTTTCGGTCATCTCAATTTGCTCCAAGGCTACTCCTAGTAGACTATATCCGACAATGCGTCCCAGAGCCTTTGGTTCATTCTTGCTCGAGACCATTAATGGTACAGATAGTAGTCGATCTCCATCTAGAGCCAACCAAGGCTGCCTGGCCTCCAAGACTACTTGAAAGTTGCCATATACACGCTAGCCTTGCTAGCCAAGCTCTGCCCTTGCTATTAGTTTGTCCTGAATACATGATCATACAAGTTGGTAAAGGAAATAGTCCGGCTGAAATGCACGGATATCGAAGAGTGGCGACATGTGTCTTGAGTAGAGCCAGCCGCGCAGTACTGAAAAAGGAAAGATTCGAAAAATGAAATGGCGGGTGATTATTGCTCGATATGGCGTACACGCTCATAACTACGAGCATGTTGGTTTGGTGCGCAGTTCTCTCATCCAGTGGTGACACAATGCGTATTCCAATAGTAGTCTCAAGACAGAGCATGGCCCGAAATAAGCGGCAAACTCACTCGAGATCACACAATAAGCGAGGGTTCCAAATTCTGGTTTAAGGGAGATCAACGAGCACTGTGACTTGGTTAGTAGAATCCAGTGAACCGTGTGAGTGGACTCACATCACTCGACAACTCTATAGATTTGTTGCCTGGTCTTTTTATTCTTTTGTGTTCTGCGTGTTAGACGCATTGCTGAAGGCCGCCGTCACAGCATTGAGCCTTGCTCAATGGAAGCGTTACGCGCCGGAGGCCTCAATGAGTATAGAACCACTCAGTTCTCATAGGGCGGGGTGTTCAAGAGAGTCAATGTCATAGGACGTGCTTCGACATTTCCCTGAGAAAATCCCTCCTGTGACGAGGTTTGCTGAGCAGACTGATCCTGGGAGGAAGGCTCATAGGAAGAACTATCTTGGGAAGTGTGCTCCTGGTGGGCATTGTTCTGTGAAGAAGGCTCTTGGGAGAGTGGCTCCTGGGTCTGGTTGTCCCCAGAAGAGATTTGCTGGGGACTAGCCATCCCAGAAAGCTGAGACAGGAAAGCAGTACCCTCAGAGGTGGCAAGGAAGTCATGAAGCTCTGCGACGCGAATGCCAAGTTCCTCTGCAGCCCTTTCCACCTGTGCAAGCTTTCGTTCTCCTTGGCTCATAGTAGCGACATTCGAGACAACATTGCCGACCATGTTGTTGGCGGGACCTGGCAGATTCTATCTGCCGGAACCGAGTCCCAAGGTCTGGATCATGCTCATAGCGAACTGGTTACGCATTTGAGGATCCACGGAGACAGACACGGGAGCTTCTCGGTTCATCGGGAGGATGCCCTGGGGGAGCGCCAAGGGATTAAGCTGGGCGTATTGAAAAGGCTGTGTTGGCATTCCCGCGGATTGGGGGTGATACAATGGTGCAGGGGCATAGATGGAGTTCTGATTGTTCTCTGAAAGATGTGAGCGTTGGTTCATGATATCGGTGTGGCATGAGAGTCAACATACCGTGAAAAGTGCATCGAGAACCACTGGCATTGAACCAGCAGTTGGTGCAGCTACCACACATCTGGCCATCGTAGATGATACACTCAGACCAGGGACCATGTCCTTTGGAGCAATTCTTGCAAGAACGGCTGACCTGGACTCCAGTGAGATGAGCCAAGAAGGCTTCGACATTGCTGCGGCGCTCCATATTGAGATCCATGTCAGAGCGACGCTGCCGGATGGGTCGTAGGGATGCTTCGCCGGCCAGCTTTCTGGCGAGAGTGCTGTCGATCACTATTCGGTCGCCATAGGTCTCCAGAGCGACCTCACCAGCTGTCTGAAGGGGCGTGTCTGACCCAGCTCCGTTGTTGGAAGGATTCGATGACATAACAACAGCGTCATGCACCTGAGGATTACGGCGAGGGAGAGTAAGAGTTCCCTCGAGCTGCCCAGTTGGGTGGCCACTAGTGGTATGGAGTAAGTGTCTGGACGCAAGTGTGGAAAGCTCAACATACTCATTGGTGTTATAGCTGCTGAAGCTGCTGAAGGGGGTTCGCCGGGATGAACCACTCGAGTTGTTGATGGTTTCCTGAGAAGAAGAAGGTTCACGAGGAGCAGATGGAACATTCTTCTGGCTCGAACCAGCTCGCTTCGTTCCTTTGGTCTCCTTCTTCGCAGCAATTCGGTTTGAAGCTCGAGTTCCAGTGTTGGGGAGGGGTGTGTGTCGGCGCGTGGTGCGCTCAGCCTTCATTTTACCCATTCTGAAGGCGAAGAGCGAGATGTAAATCTCGAGGTTTGTCGAGGAATCACAAGGTAAGCTTGAGTAGAGAGCCCTTGAGAGGCCGACGACAACTGTTGTATAAAGAGAAGAATATATGAGCAGTGATAGCAGGGAAATTGATATGAGTGCGAATATATTCTTGACAAGGGTTAACAGAATGGGTGACAAAAAGAAGAGAGGGGAGAAGAAAAGAGAGAAGCAGGCCAGGGCCAAGGGTAGCAGTGAGCTGTTGGCGTAGTGACCCCACTGTTTATCGCGTTTTCCACGCGCCGTGCATCTCGCGCTTCAGCACGGTACGCGAGCAGGCGAGGTCACTTACTGTAGGCAGGCAGATTCATTTCTCTGACGTAAATTTATTCATAGACGCGTTCGGTCATTTCTTTGGTGCTGTTAATGATTCACCCTCATTCACTTGCCGGAACGGCACAAGCTTTGGTCAACATGCAGCTCCATGCAGGAGTGTCTCTGCTCAAGTTCACCAACTTAAGGTGTTAAACCCCCATGAAATTGGTGAGCTCAACTCATTGAACTGGAGAACATCCAAAATACCATACAATAACCCTCTTTCCTAGGTATCTGTCCCTTAGTCATCGTTGAATGGGCATATCGATGCTCTAAACTCAGTTCTCCTCAATGTTGCCCAATGGCTTATTCAACGGACGGACGAGTAGATGGCCAATTCACTCTTCAATAGGCTGTTCATGTTATCTAGTTCTGAGGCTCTATTGCCTAGCGCCAGCTGCCTGTTCCCAAATTCCATCTCCCCGTCCTTCGGTGATCTCCTTCCACTGCATCGCAAACTCCATCAATCCTCCCTGGCTACCCATGCTTGCATCTACTACCTCTTTCGGTAGCTTGTGTGCTGAGTATTGGGGGCTACTAAAGTTGTATGCAGCTGGGTCATCCTTTTCTATTATCCTGAACTCGGGGCTCATTTCAGGTCGATACTCGATATCGTCATCCTCCTCCTCACCTTCTGTGACTGTGTCATCACCGCTGACATCCGCGCCGGCCTCATTACTTGATGTTCCATAGAGGGGGTTCTTAACATCCACCTCAAGAAGCTCTTCCCAGCCAAAGAGGAGACTGTCTGTTCGAGGGGCCCATGGGTTAATATCCATTAACCTGACTTTTCCCAGCCCATCTTTCTCAAAGGAGTTTTCTGGAATATAAACATCAAAGACGAAGCTGGCGTCAGGAAATGTGAACCTCAGTTTCTCTCGGAAGAATGTCTTAATCTTACGCCACAGCTGAGGTCGAATCTGCTCTAAGAAATCATAATGATTAAGATCTCGCTGTGTGATACCAATGAGAGTTCTGTGCTTGACGAAACATCGAAATTCTAGGGCCACGTGAGGGGTGAAGAATGGTCTTAGAACAAGAATTGGTGCGTATGGCTTGGTCGGAGGTCTTGGAATGCAGTCGTCGAAGGCGTGATCGAGGTCATGAGAAACAAAAGAAGATGACTTGAGGAGTAGGTAAATGTCGTTTGGAGTGGTGCACTTGAGTGTGTTTTGATGAGGCGAAATCCACTTGGCATCTTTTGGTGAAGACCAGTTCAACTTGGGTGCAACTGAGCCACCTAATTCTGCAATCGTCTCTTTGATGAGATTGTGTGTCTCCGGGAACCGCTGATTAGGAGGGAGCCTTTCAGGTTCATCTTCCTCATCATCTGACGAATCAGGATCCCTAACTTGAGGCCTTGCAGATGTATTGGATGATGCATGCCATTCCTCTTCAGGCTCGTCTTGATTCTCATCATCATCTGCAAGAACTATACCGTCTTCATGGAGATACTCGACGAATGAAGGGGGCAGTGGTATTATGCGAGATTTGAGACACGAGCTTCGGTATTTGGGAAACCAGAAGTCGTAGGAGCAGTTTTGGATGTGATCTTTAGTGACTGGTGGGAAAACGAGCTCAGGCGCATCGCCTCGGCTATCGGCTTCAGCCGAAGCGGCAACGTGAGGCATCTTGGTTGTTGTCGAAGGTCTTTAATCAAAGGCTTATAGTGTGAGAAGTCCTCGGTATCCAATTGTTATGTTGCTTAGGTATGTGAAAAGAACAGAAAGTGATGGACTGTGCTGTGGACGTTCAAATGTTGACTCACTTATAAATTATTATCCAAATATCATGGAGGGGGCGATGATTATTTATCTTATCTTCCGAGAGAGGTAGGCGGTAAAGATTTAGCTGCAGCGGCAGTGGCATTGGTAGAAGGGTCCTACATCATATCCACCCTGGTTGTTGCTGTCGCATCCATCACAGATCTCGATTGTACATAACATTATCTGCGCGCCAACTTATACCAACTGTCCTTTCAACAGTCAAAACACAACACTCTATCTACTATAATGTCTGATAACGTTGGCCTCAACACTCCCCGAGGCAGTGGCACCTCGGGCTACGTTCAGCGCAACCTTGCTCAGATCAAGCCTCGCGACTACGGCGCTCCTTATCCCAAAGACCTCGATAGCTTGCGACATAAGCAACGTCAGCCAGACAAGGGAATCCTGGAGCACGACCGCAAGCGCGAGGTCGAAGTCAAGGTCTTTGACTTGAGGGACAAGCTTGAAGAAGAAGAGTACGGATTTGAATACATCCAATTACATGGCTGGCTGTGCTAACATGATCAAGGGTCGATGAAGACGAGATCGATAGGCGATGCGACGAGCTCCGACAAAAACTCCTCGCCGAGATGAATTCTGGGAGGAGGGGCGGCCAGAGAAAGACATTCAAGCAACACCAGGTGCACGAGATGGCTGATGCCAAGATCAAAGAGAGCGAACGACTAAGGAAAGCATTGAAGATCAGCGCAGATTATGAAGAGGGGGGTCATTGGAAGCGCCAAGAAGAGAGGCTGCGCAATGCTTTGGAGAAGGATGAGGAGAAGGATGAAGGTGACGATAGGAAAAGTGAGCCAAGAGACTAGGTTGACCACCCAACCCAAAACATATCGGCCACTATGTTACCGGAACTTGCGTTTTGAGGGGAAACGCAGATCTTTGGGTATTTGTGCAATTGTCAAGCATTTGGCGGTCTGCCATGCTTCGCCAGGAATTGGTCATTGTTATGGAAGTCGTCCACCCATTGGAAACGTGGACAGCACGGATGACTATAGCACCCGGGTTCTGGATGGTTTTTATGTCATGTTTCTGTTTACTTTCAAGCGGCGCATGGCGTTTAGGTATTGGGACTCACGGACCCAATTTGCATTGTCTAGGGTAGGGCATTCAACACTGGACACGAGGTTTTGTTCCTCCAAACGACTCATAATTATTGCTTGGTTCCGTATTCCCTTATGTAATTAAAATGAATCTGGAGTTTCTTACTTATTATGGTCACTTTGTTTTGTCTCCATCTGCACTCTGTGAACGGTGTTGGAAATACGAACATCAACTGGTCGATCTACTCATTCCAATAACCTAAGTCGCAATACAGTCTTTGATCCGACAGTGGCCGAATTATGTTCAAAGTCCTTAAACCAAAGTACTCACTAAATGTATGTGAACCAAATACAGGTTTTATATATAGTCTGTTTTCAGGAAAAGTCCGGTTGGTCATTAGGTATGGCCTTGTAAGTTGCGACGTGGCTTGGCACATGCTCATGCTACAGAGACCCGCTATAGCTTGAGCTTCCTTGAACCTCACACGTCACTTAAATCACCAACGAAAGTACCAGCCAGAGACAGGAAAGGTCCAGGAGATCGACGACGAAACGAAAATAATAACCATGGCACGACTCTCACATTTCACCTCACATTCAATCAATATAAGCGCAATCGATATTGCATCAGCAGAGCTGGGGAACCTGCTGTTGCGACTACAAAAGACCGTTCTTCATACAGATAGCGACCGCGAACGACGACTACGATCGAGCGAATTCGAAAGGGCACGAGTAGCATCTGTAAGAGCGCCTGTACAGGATTACACATCCGTACACACTGACTCTGAACCATAGAATCTCGAATACGCACGAAACTCTTTGACGAAACTAGAACACGATGCGCTGGGGATTAAAGCGCCAGGTCGTAGGGCTGAAGTGCAAAGCGACTTGAATGGGAAGAGAGAGCTTCTAGAACTGCTACTGGACCGGCTAGAAGACTTGAGACAAGTGAGAAATGGTTTATGGGACAAGGCAAAGGATCGAAGCTGACATTACAACAGGTGGCAATTGAGGAGGACCAAGATGATGAGAGTACCGACGGAGAAGATATCCTCTCAGAAATAATACCTACGCCGAGCGATAGCATGGTCGATTCCATATCAACAGGCCAACCCACTGAAAGCTCGGGGCAAGATGATGATGCCGAGCCAGAGCCCACCGAGCCAACGACAATACCAACGACAACAGGCACAGTGCCAGCGCCAGCATCGACAACACCACCCCCTGACACGCCTACGACATTGCAAGAGCACAAACAACAACCCACGCAAACAACGCAGAACCTAAGATCAAGAGGCGCACCTTCATCTCCATCACCGCCTGCCCATTCAACAGCACGCGCGGCGCTTTTCGCCAACCGAAGCAAACCCTCTCCTCCCCAAACATCAACAGCAACAGCTGAAGCCTTACTCGATCACCAACGAGCCGAACAGGAAGCCCTTTCGGAATCGATTCTTCAGATGGCGAGTGCTCTAAAGTCAAGCTCACAACGGTTCTCAACTACTCTCGAGGCAGATAAGGACGTAGTGGCGCGTGCAGGTGAGGGAATGGATAAGACAGAACAGAGCATGGAGGCGGCGAAGGGGCGAATGGGTATGCTCAAGAGGATGACAGAAGGGAAGGGATACTTTGGGAGGCTACTCCTGTATGCATATATCGCTTTGCTTGCTGTGGCATGCATACTCGTGGTCTTTGTCCTACCCAAGTTGAGATTCTGAAGACCGGAAACAACAAGGAGACTGGTAACAACACATCGGCTTATGTACAAGTGCATCAAGTATAAGCCATCATGAGCATTGCTGTGTAGGTAGCTATCGTTCCATATCCGCCAAGCATACTGAGCGATTGTCCCCAAGTTTCCCAAGATATGCACGTCCCAATCATTCATATGCTGCTCCAACCAATAGTAACCCATTCTTAAGCTCCCTAGCAATTGGGGTTGAGATTCATAATTGATAACCCGAGACCTGGCGCACTAGGTTCTGTCATGCCCAGCAAGATAGCAGGCTTGAAATACCCATAAACTCAAACTAAAGAGACTCCCGAGTCTCGAATTCAAAGGAGATTTCCATCTCGCCCACATCACCAGGAACCACGGCGACACCCTCATTTGCTGCTTGTGAGAGATCTATCTCATCAACAGGAGAAGCCAGAGTAGCAAGAGCACTCTTGGTCTCTGCGTCGCCCATAGATTCATCAGTCGATTTGTCCGCTTCCTGAGCCTTTTCAGACCCAGCAGGTGATTCGGCTTTCTTTTCGCTGTCGAGGGTCTCCGAATTAGCGATAGTTGCCCTTTCATCTTGAGAGTGCTCAAACGTAGAAGGTGGAATCTCTTCCCTGCAGTCCCGAGAGGCCCCTAAGCTGGAGCAGGATTCGTTTTCACCTGTAAGCTTCTCAGGATCAGGAGAAGTCATTTCAATGTCGTCTCCAAGCTCCCTCGGATCTGTGCCAGATCCTTCCACCGGGGCGCGAGGGGAATCGGGAGGTGAAGTCATCACCTCATCATCTTCCTCAGGGGCTCTTGGGCCACCATCAGATTCATCTTCAGCCGAGCCAGTCTTCTCCTCTTCCTCGTGGGGAGTCCACGGTATTCCCCGAATCGCAGCATTGATCTTTCGACAATACTCGATGTCGTGCTTTAGACGTCTCCCAACGGGTTTCCCCCTGGACTAGATATTATTAGTAAATTATCTTCATGAAGAGCAACAGACTTGAGACATACCGGGGGCTCGTACTGAAAATACGAACTGGGCATTGTTTGGGCTAGTGACACCCGATCTTCCCAAGCGATCCCGGTCTTCTTCTTGAAGAAGTCCATAAACAGCTCCATCTCCGCCCGCCATTTTCCCTCGTGAGGACTAGGACGGTGATAGCTGGGCTGGGAGCTGCCCTTTTGTTTGAGGAATTTGGCAGTGAACCGGTACAAGTGAGGTTTAGCGTTGGACTCCCATAACTGTTTGTTGTTAGTATCAAGACATGCGAGAGGCAGACCTTACTTACGCAAAGAGAATACTTCTGTCCGAACTCGCCTGTGAACTCATCATCTCGAGTGATGTCGACCTGGTAGACAAAGTTGAGGCGATCTCGATAGAGGTGAAAGCGGTCTAGTAGAGCTTTAGTTTTCATAAATCAGTAGAACTGCGAACAACATACTTGTGTTGACAAATTTCTCTGCGTTCCTTTCGCCCTTCTCGATCCGAGCCTTTTCTCTCTTCTTTGCGTTCTCCTTTGCGACGAGACTTCTCATGGAATAGTCTGCTTCAGGCAATTTCTTGTTCTTGACTGTCGAATACTCGAACCAGTCACAATGAACAATGTGAATGCCCTTTCCAAGTTTCAATGCCTTTTTGACTATAAACTAATCAGTAGTTGCCGTGGAAAGAGAATAAGAAACAAGTGTTAGTACCTTTGGGAAGTTTCTTGTCGAACTGTTCCTTGGTGCAGAGGAGATGAGTGACAGTCTCGTCAAAGTCCTCGATAAAAACGCCTTTGCGAAGTGAGATCCATCGCTTCAGGTTTTCCACTGTCAACTGACCAGGGAGAGGCCCTGCAGCTGCAATTATACGGTTCTTGAAGATCTGAGCAACCATGTTTGCTGCTGTCTATGCAATCCTGATAAATTGTCGAAAGCTGAAGGACGAGGGCTGTACCTGAGTCCACGACACAGAAGTCCAATGCAGAAAATAAGGGAAACTGAAGAAGAGAGAAGAGAGTAAGTGTTAGGAGGCGAAGGTGAAGATGTCCTGTGGAGTAGGATGAAGACGTTGTTGCTGGTCAGGACCAAAAGTGAAAGGGGATGACGACTTTAGAAGAGAGAATCCTCTGACATAAGATAGAGCGAGGAGTGAGAGTCACGAAGAGGTTTAAAAAGAAGAGAAGTTGATATAAAAGTTCAAGATCAGGGCTTGTTGTGATAAGAGATGAATATGCGAGACTGCGAGTCTAAGTGCATGTTTGATAGCGCCTTGTGCCATTAGAGAGAGTGTGCATAGAATGGGATGATAATGTCTGTACCTTGGAGAAGGGTTACCACGAAAGAGATATTATAAGGACCACCTCTAAAAGGGGACACTTAAAAATGGTTCATAACTCCACAGCTCCAATCAAACTTGAGTGCTCATGAGAGTTTTCTGCAATTGAATAACCTCTATTTTATTCTATATTTTATCGGATTTCCTTGGCAGCCTTTATGAAAGCTGCGATCTTGTCTAGGCTTTGTTTTCCGTCCTCCTCCACACCACTGCTCACATCGACACCAATCACTCGATCAGCCAGAGGACCCAAAGCCTTGACGGACTCAGCCACGTTGTCAGGATTGAGACCGCCAGCAAGGAAGACTCGAAGCTCAGGATCACTCTCCAGAACAGCCTGGACATTGGTGACATTGAGAAGCTTGCCGGATCCAGAGCCAGAGTCAAGAAGAGGAACGGTATGATATCCCCGACGCGCAATTCCGACTTGGCCAGGCTTGAAGCATCGGACGACGGGCACAGGGATGAGGCTTGCCCACTCGATTGGCTCGTCACCATGAAGCTGGACTAGGTCAAGGTCGTATTGCTTCTGCTTCTCCAAAACCTCGCTCAGAGGCTGGTTCTGGAAAATACCAACGAGCTGAGGTCGAGGGCTACGAAGTCTTTGGGCAGCAGCTTCGAAGTAGTCCTTGGCTTTATTGTCTACTGTTGCCGCTTGGGTGTCATATTTTCGAGTGCTAGGATATGTGTGCACTGCTTCTGAGATTGCAAGGGCAGTCTCGTGTGAGATACATCGCTTGGCACCAGGAACAAGGCAGATGCCAACAAAGTCTGCCCCCGACTCGGCAGCCTTCAGGGCAGCCTCAGGACTTCGCGTCCCGCAGATCTTGACGTACAACGATGACGTGACATCAGATTTAGCAGGGGGCTCGGTTCCAGAGCACAGTTGGCTGATAAAAACACTGGCATCAGGGGCTCTCATGATGGCCTCACCAACTAGAACAGCATTGACACCATCCCTCTTGTTCATCAAAACGTCATCATGGGTATTGATACCGCTGAGCGCGCAAATGATTGTGCTTTCAGGCACCATGCTGCGTAGCCGGCCTGTGGTGTTGAGATCAACTTCAAAGCTCTCGAGGTTACGGTTGTTGACACCGATAACCTTGGAGCCCAGTTTAACTGCAGTTGTCATCTCCTCAGCATTCTGAACCTCAACAAGAGGCTCCATACCCAATTGGAGAGAATAGTTATATAGTCTTTGTAGGAGTTCAGAATCAAGCATCTTGACAATGAGAAGAACAGTATCCGCACCAGCCAGTCGTGCCTCAAGGATCTGATACTCGTCAAAGATGAACTCCTTACGGAGGATTGCGGGTCTGTTGGGCATGCCATCCAAGACTTGTCGAACGGCTCTCAAGTCCTCAATACTGCCCTTGAACCACTCAGGCTCAGTGAGCACGGAAATAACACTTGCGCCTGCCAGAGCGTACTTTCGAGCTTGTGCAGGGGCGGAGATATCCAGCGCAAAGATACCCTTAGAAGGAGAACCGCGCTTGATCTCAGCCATCAAAGCAACGTCAAAAGGAGACTGTCGTAGTCGGTTGACAAAAGGAATCTGGGGAGGGGCAGCGTTGAGATCGTACGCAACTTGTAGATCCTCAAATCTTTGGGAAGGAATCTGCTTCTGAGCATCCACAGCAGCCTTTCGGTTGGCATAAATTCGCTGCAGAATGTTGTTCTTCTTGGGCTTGGGTGCAGTCGAGTCGTCACTGTTGGCGGAACCAGACTTCTGGAACTCAGTGTTCTCCTCCCAAGTACCTCCTTGCATGCGGAGGAAGTTTGTGATCATAGCTCGTCCACCTTCAGTTAGGATACTCTCAGGGTGGAATTGGACACCTTCGATGGTGTACTTCTTGTGACGAACACCTTGAATGACACCAGGGGAACCATCAGGCTTAGCCACCCAAGAGGAAACCTCCAGGTCCTCAGGTAAAGTGATGTGGGTACCTGCGAGAGAATGGTACCGAGTAACTGGAACACCCTGCTTGATACCAGAGAACACACCCTTAGAATCATGGGTCAATGGTGAAGTCTTGCCATGGAGCCATTCACCAGCTGAACTGACTTCTCCACCATAGACATTAAAGATGCACTGGCTGGAGGCAGGTTAGAGGAATTGATATATAGTGAAAGACCAACACTTACAGGCCCATACAGACACCAAAGATAGGAACCTTGCCAGCAAAATGTCTAATAACATCGCGGCTCACACCAGAATCAGTCTCGGGGTGACCGGGACCGGGGCTGATGATAATCTGGGTGGGTTTCTTGGCAATGATTTCATCCACAGTCACCTTGTCGTTTCGATAGACAGTAACCGTAGCTCCCGCAAGAACGAGATACTGGTAAATGTTCCAGGTGAAAGAGTCGTAGTTGTCAATAAGAATAAGGTTAGAGGCCGTTGGAATTGGAGGCGAGGGATCAGCCTGGTGAGGCGAGTGATCGATAATATCTGAGGAACCCATTTTCTCTCTCTCTCTCTTTTTATCTTTCTCGAAAATAACAACAACGAGAAGGGAGCGTACTTTGAAACCGTGTCTTCGTAAAATGAGATATTTTACGAGACTGAGAGCGGTGACGTTGCAAAAGGTGAGTCACTTTGAGTTTGAATAGAGTTGAACAAAGAAGCTGTGAATGCGACTTTCGGCCAGTGCAGGACTGACTAGCGCACTGTCGTCTCTGGCAGAGACACAATGGTTCGTACAGTGCTAACTCTATATGGCGAATGGAGGCATAAGGTCCGATATAACTGCCGTCCACTGAAGCACCGGGTAAACCTGGGCTAAATTGGAGCTCTCTAGCTCAGCTCAGGTCCAAAAAGTTGACCAGCCAAAGCTCGATCCATCCATTCGCGACCCAGCGCGTCAACAAGCATCAAATTCAGACTTTCTTCGTATCCACCCTAACTAATCGCCAGGTGATGCGTCGCATGCCACTGTCGCCTTTTTGACGACGCTCTTTGCAATGGCGCCGGTGGCCGATCGCATTTACTTCCCCTCCCTAGAACAATGCCTGACTGGGGAGCGGGTACTGCTGTAAGTTGACTGAATGCCTCTCTCGTCCCTTGGGCTGCCTAGTATCCATTCATCTATGTACATAAACTCACCGCTAACTCACCACTCAGCTCTTGGAAGCTCATCGCAACTGCGCTGTCTGATAGTTCTGGTCAGAGAACTACGAGTTCTGCCGTCATCGAATTTTTGAGCGACGACTATGTTCACCGTCTTCTCGAGGACCCTGCCAGCACCTTCGCACCCGCAGATGAAGCTACGAAAAAAGTCTTTGAAACAAAAACGGCCCCGATAAATGTTCCCGCAAGCTCAGATGGACGACCTGATATCGAGACGATCAAGAAAGATGCCGAATGGCTTAGCAAGAATGCCAAAATTAACCTAGTCGCAGCTTTGCGTGTGGTCGTGATAGAACACCAGTCCCGTCCCGCGCGCCATCTCAGTGGCCCATTATCGTCTCAAGATGCCAAGAACCTGCAGGAAGCTGCCGGCCTTAACAATGGCCAGGGGTCAGGACTGCTCTTGGACCTAGGATCGGCGGCTGCGCTGGATGCTGAAGAGATCTGGACCGAATTCGAGAAGCCCGAGACGAGACAGCGACGCCTGTTCGATACCTATCTTACCGAGCGCCGTTTTTTTATGATGTCTGCGGACTATGCCAACTCGATCAAGCTATACGAAAGGCTGCCGACCTTCGCCAGTGTTGATCTCGACCTAGCCAAGACCTACCGACTGAAGCTTCCCTCACGAGACGACGCCGAGCCCCTACTCCCGACTTACCTTCAAGTTCTCACAGACTCTATGTCTCGCATCGAATCAGGTCTAAAAGCTGTAACGGACGAGAAGTGGGTGACCGAGGAAGTCGAACTAGATTGGCTGCGAACGCTTCTAACAGAAGCTATCCATGCTTTGTCTGTTGTCTTTCAGATTGTTGACAGTTTTGGCGACGACTTTGCACCTTCAAGTGCTGTCAACCAGTGGTTTGCTTTGATGGAAGTCTACAGATTCTTTGACGCTGTTCAGCCGGTATGTATTCCGCGACACGTTGATGGCAGACTTGTACTAATAGTACCCCCAGATCCACGAGAGCATTGCCCCTCTAGTTTTGCCCCTGAAGACTCTTTCAGCCGCCGTGTCCCTGATACTACTCAAGCCAGCTCGCTCATTAACCTATCTTTCCGAGAGAGAAGAGGATGCTACTCAAGCAGATACTTCTTACGACACATACCTTCTCTCATCCGACGTCCTTGAACAGGTCCATAAGAGCATACTAAACGCTGCCGAAGCCGATTGCGAAAGCGCCTCACCTGTCATTTTCGCATGGACGCTTCTTCTTCATCGCATGAATGTTTCTTATCAGAGCCGAACAGAGAAGCGTGATAATTTGCTACAGCAAAATGCCCGAGAAACCTTTGAGGCAGGAGGTGTGATTCGACCAGTTGCAAGACGAAACTCGGCGGGCAGCATCTTCTCCATCGAATCTTCGAAATTCGACGGCTTCCTCGAGAATGCGACTTCATCCAAGGACCTCGTGGTGGTGGAACA